ATCATATCTGGGTGAAGCTCCAAATGGTGAGAGGCGAGAGGACCCCGAATTTGGTTGATTGAACCTTTTTTTGCCACTTCAGAGATGCAGTTAAGACATTAAAAAGCAGCAGGAAATTCAAGGCTGTTTTGCCTCAAAACAATTGTGTTAATCCCTTGGCTCCCAGCTACTTGGACTTTGCCATGCTATTTAAACTCCCCAAGGATGACATGTCAACAAGGGCTTGATTCCCTCCCACCCCAATCCCCCATGTTGGACCTGGCCTTAGAAGCCAAGACCAAGGAGGAGGAAACTCTGAACTCTGGTGAACCGAGCAAGAGTCTGTAACATCATGGACTCTGGACTCTGGCGGGTGCTGGGTGTTGGGCTCTTTACGGAGATCCACCCTCAATGTCACTGGCTCCACTGAACCCCACCGCATCTCATGTGTTACCTGACTCAAGCTCCCTCCTCGCCCCAGCTGACTTGCTCTGTCGCGAGTGTTTTTTATGCATATGATTTTAAATTCTAACTCATCTCTCCCACTGTGTATTTCCAAGCTGCAAAAGGTAGCATGACCTGGTTGCGCATGACCTGTTCACCTGTTCCCCCATGTTTTTTGTCATGTGTCCTCTGGAATGGGTGTTTTTAACTGTAATTTTCATTCTACAGTGCATCCCTGATGTTATATTTGAATGACAATAAAGTAATTCTGAATCTGAATCTTCTTTCATGATGATGATCCTTGCTCTGTGCAGGGATCTATGGCTGCGAGACCTGGGGGCACCTGTTCTCCTATGTTTGGCTATGTTCTGTCTTTTTGTGAATGGGTGTTCTGAACTGTAATTTCATTGTGCTTTGTACAACGACAGTAAAGGTTTCTCTTATCATAACGAAGCTCTTCATTTCTGTTGAGAAATTTGAGGTAAGATGACAGAACATCTCATTTTGAGTATGAATTACTCAACTATTAATTGGCCTTCCATTCTTCCATTTCCTTTCTACTTGCCCATGGTTGAGTTTACAGAGGCAACAAGTCCAGGACGGAAACCAAAACATTCCTCTCCTCAACATTACTCTACAACCTGAAAAATCACAAAGTGTCTCCAAGCCAGGAAGAGGATTTATAAACCTTGCAGCAAGTTCTGGATTTGCTCCAGTGTCTCCTCAATAGCTATGTTTACATGGACATAAGTAATCAGAATAAACAAGCAATCAGAATAAAAATGTGTCACGTAAAGGTCCCAATCAGATCTGATTCAGCTTGATCGGAATGAATTTGTAATCTTAATGAGAGGGGTGGTTTATACTTACTGTATATCTCAAGTGACCATTCCACCTGTTAAGCTACTTTATGCTTCATGAAAAACAGATTCATAAGAAAAATGTTTCTTTCATTGCATCTATTCACAGTTTTGGATGTTTGTGTTGTCAGAGACTAGTGGCTGATAACAAGTAAACAGTAGGAGAAAAGGAGAAAAACCTTAAAGGCACAACACACCACTGGTTCCCAAATAGGCTGGGTCACGTCTGTGCGTGCACATGCACGTTTGTGAGTGTGTCTTCATGAACTACAGTATGTATATGTGTGTGTGTCCCAAGCCTGAGGCAACCAGGCCAGCGGCTACAATTACAATGACGGATGTGAAAGAACTGGGTCGGCTTCTCAAGAGATCTGCCCCTGAGACGACAAGACCAGCCAGAGCCCTGAATCAATACAGAACACATGCACATGTGCATGCACACACACACACACACACACACACACACACACACACACACACACACATACACACAAACACACACACACAAACACACACACACTA